AAAGAGACCCAGCTTCTCTGATATTGAGAGCTGCAGCCATTCACAGGCAGCAAGGAGTACCTTTAAATGCAGCTTTAGTTAGCAGTAGTCTGACTTACAGATATTTATGGTGTGTATTCAGCAATATTTGTTTGGCAGTACGGTCCCAGAGGACTGTCTGATTAACCCTGCTGCAGACCTACTAGAAAAGCACGCTTTGGCAGTCAGAGTACTGTTGTAACAGATGAATATTCACTGCTTTTTTGGGTATTCAGAGAGCTTGTATTACAAGAAGCATCTTATAAACGGCTTTCAAATTTATGATTCCTAATACAACTGAATGTGGGCTCTTTGAAAGACAGATTGTCTCTCCAGAAGTTCACCTAATATCTTTAGTAATGGCAATGAAACCCCATGCCTCAATCACGTTTTTCTACTCTACACAGGCAGGTAGTTCACAGATAGGATCCTTGTTTCTTAATTTTCCTGAAGTTGGCCAAAGAAGCCAAACAGGTACACCCATTCCAGTAGTGGAGTGCAGAGGTTGTGTGCGAGTCAGAATTTCCTCATCTCAACTTTTACTCAGGTCACTCGTCACACCTGACCCTAGTGCAATGACTCTGGTATTTGTAATGTTGAATTGCCTAGTGCCTGTTGCTTTACAACCAAATAAACTTTTCCTGAGACACCTCACGTAGGAGGTTCAATGTTCAGTGATAAGATATCAGTACAAGTACAATCTTTTCTAACCCTGACTGTTACCGTGCTAAAGATTATGAGATTCCAAAGGTGATGCTGTACACAGGACTAGGAACTGCGGTCCAGCTGTTAACACTGAGGTCGCAGTAAAACTTCCTGACTTCTCCAAACACAAGCCTGCATAGTGCAAAGTGGTGGCTGTTGGCTTTGAAGGGCTGCAAAACTTTTCTTCTGCACTTGATTTTTTTTTTTCTTTTGCAGAAGATGTTTTCATTACACCTTACCATTAGGCAGTTCTCCTGCTCTCTGTCCCAGCAGAGCCTCCTCTGATCAAGTCTTTAGATGGCACAGCATTGTCTGGAGTGATTAATGTTGTGTCAAGGTGATTCAAAGCAAAGTAATAGTCCAGTGTAACTGCATTCTTTAGTAGGCTCTTAAAAGTGAAGTGAAACCCCCACATAAGCAAACACCCAATGCCTCTTATAACATCTAGGGTCACATTGATTTGGAACGACCAAAAAATACAAGGAAGACTGTTCACATGGCAGTTCTGCTTCCCATCCTCTACAAGGAACTAGTGGACAGAGACAAACTGGACAACTAGTTCTTGATGAAACAGACTTACGACTGAGCAGCTGTTAGCATAAAAACACAGAAGTTTAGAAAACATTCAAAAAAACCCAAACTGCAAGCTGCTGTTATCTGTAATGCTTTGTCATGGCTCTTCTCCTTCCTCTAAAACAAGTCCTGTAACGTCTCTAAGCCTCAGTATCTCCACCTGTAAAATGGAATTAACAGCATCTTGCTATCCTATGAAGTCTTTGGGACTGCAAACAAATTCTGTCATGAGTTTCTCAAATATTCTGAGGTATTAGGCCAAACACCTCTCTTAAGTATGCAAATGCCTACCTGACCCTAAACTGGAGACATATAAAGCAGTCCATAAGTCAACTGGGCAGCGAAGAGCAGAAATCTGAAAACGACAGTGGTTCTCCACCAGGAAGGAGCCAGTCCTACTGCTACTTAGTGCTGCTGATGCTAAATGCTACCTGGCCTGATCCTGCTAAACTTTGTCCATCACCCTCCATACACGCACAGCAGAGAGAAAAATCATGAAACTTGCATTGTAAATTCACAACTGTAACAATGGCAGCTTTCAGTTTACTGATTTGTTTCTCTAGTATGTTTTTTTTTTTTTTTTTTTTGAGGTTTTATAGCTCCTCTTTACTTCTAGGTTTGATTGTCACACTGTGATTGCTGAGATACCAAGAAAAGGGGAGAAAAAAAAAAAAAGGAAAAAAAAAGGAAAACAAAGAGGACTGGTTAGTAAAGTACAGGCAGTTCTTTTCCCTTTACATGGCCCAATGCTTGAAGTCTTTCATTGCCAGGGTTACAAGCAGCTTTTCACAGGCATTTCTGGTTGGGAATATAGTATTTCTTCCCAGTGACACTATTTTGTTTGTCTTGGCATGCAAGCATTGTAATCAAGTCTATATATTACAGCACTGTGCCTAAGCACAAATGGCAGGCATTTCAAGCCCTATTTACTTAGGTTTCTTCCTTGCCCAACAAATTATCTAAAAATAGATAATCAAGACCTCATACTTTACATCTACGTCATTCCTTTTGGCTTAAGTGAGGTAAGGAATGTAGTTGTTCTTTTTCTCTCCTCTTTCACCAACTGTTTGGAAATTTCAGTAAACAGATAAATCTCCTTTCCTCCTTTCCCCCTCTTTTTTGTCTCATTTGTGAACAGCCAGCAGGCCACAAAAGCCTTGTTATGATAATGCCCCCGTCCTTCTGCTCGTGTTACACTTGTATAACCAGAGATAGGACATAGAGTTACCAGGCAGAGAGAATCTCTCTCATCCATGAACTTTTTTTGATCACAGTTACCCACAGATATTTCTGTTCCTACAAGTTGCATTTCAGCTGTAACTGCTTCATCCTTGGAATCACAGTCAGGGTTTGGTTCCAGAACGGGTGGATTCCGCCTTCCAAATTCAAGAATTCTGAATGGCATCCTGTGAGAACTTGATGGGATGCAATTTTGTGGTACATGGAGGGTGTCATCAAATGAGGAAGAGCTCAGGTATTGCCATAGTAGAGCTGCACCCTACAGGAATTAGTTTCTGAAAGTAGCTTTCAGTCCAGGAGGACTAAGAAATGCTAACAACCAACCTGTATGTATTTGTTACGCTCAACAGTTCCTATCTTCCCATGGCTCAGTTAGAATAACTTTTGTATTCTCCAGTATTTAACCTGAACAGCTGAACAGGTCCTAACCTGGGGTCAAATCTGTCCTTGGTTTACATTCACATCTTCATGGAATTTCACACAGAAGATAGAAACGTACAGACATCTAAGGCTAAATTCTGAACTTGCTGAAATCCACAGGAATATCTCACTGGCTTTCAGAGGACTTGGACTTGAGTATTCTCTTAGAAGAAAGTTTAAAGAGTGGAATGAAAAATAAAAGAACTTTGGGTGAAAGAACAAAGAAAGGGAACAAGTTTTCAAAACATTTCTGAGTGAAAAAGGAGAGAAGATACAGACTTAATAGCAGAAAACTGAACTGAACAGAACTGCAGACCAGGAATGACCCCAGGTTAGTCATACTGAAAGTAAAGACAGTAGTGCTGGAGAGATGCACTCGGGGTCTCCTACACAAGCCAGTTCCTGTTCTGCCCAGCTCTTATAGTATTTCAATCACTTCAGTAAATACGGCCTTATCTCATAGATTATCACAATGAAAGTAAAGAATGACAGCTCCCAAAGTAATGCCACCTGGAGAACACTCAATGCCGCACCTGGATGCTATGTCACCTCTGAAGTGCTGGCATGTTCCCAGGCAGGACATGAGTATGTTCTGTTATATACAGAAAATAAAGGATATAGAATATATAGAATAAAAAGCACAAGACTGTTGTTTTCCCATGGAAAAAAGAAAGACAATAGAGAAAGAAAATAAGAGAGACTGAATGAGCAGGTGTTTTCTTTATGCTACTCCAGGGGTAAGAAGTAGATCTAAAGATGTTTGTCCTACTTAAGCAGAGCAAGGAACTGCTTCACATTTCCCAGGGAAAGTAAACACCCTTATCTGACAGGGTTTTTGAGGCCCAAACTCTTCTTGTATTTAAGGCTTGCTCTTGAATTACGTAATCACTTCCTCAAACCAAAATGTTCATTCCAACCAGACAGAGCAAGAGAAGCATTGCATAGCGGGGAGGACTTGCACGTTTTAAACCCTTATTAATTCCTATTCCAGCAATGTCACTGGGCTGCATAAGAAGCGTGATCCTACAGCGCAGGAAGGATGGATGGTGATAAGACAAGGCAGAAAGTTGTTATGACTAAGTAGGACCATTATTTTGCCATTGGGACGCAAGTGTCGCTCAGTCACTGACAGCTGGAACTCATCTCACGAGGTCTGCACTGACAGCAACACACTGCTCTGTTACTCCCAGTTGCCTGATGCTTTCTGGTAAAGCTTTCCTAAGCAGGTACGGAGTCTGCCTGGAACAGTCTGAGGGGCAGGAGAGGAATTCAATCTCAGCCTTGAAATGAATCAGTTGTCTGCATCTTATATACAAATCCCCTTTCCTGGTCGTTCTTACCACCGAGCTGCCGGCAGCTTTGAACACGACTTCTAACCTTTCCAAGTTTGGGTCTGAGAGCTCTAGAAAGTTTGGGCTGAGCTCAGAGACCCCCAGCAGAGCTCCTATGAGAACGTGTGCGCCTGCATCTCATTTTAATCCAGCGTCGCAGGGATGCGAGCTCTGCCCAAGTGCAGCCAGAAGACAGGCTTTGCTTCCAAAATCTCCGGGTCCGTAACGTGTGTGACACTCCTCCGTCACTTCTTCATTGATGCCAGAGTTATTTTTGGCGGAGAAAGGAAGGCTTTTCCTCCCCTCCCCTTTTTTTTTCCAATCGCACAAGATTGCGGTACGTCTGCACGGCAATCTCATGCGATCTAATGCAGCCCAGACGGCTTCACATAATTTTAGGGTGAATCTCTCCACTTCTGCGTCTTCTGAAGGAAACTCCAGGAAAAGTCCCAAATCCCGGCTTATTATTTAGCGGCGGTAAGAGGGAGAAGCCATCCATCCGCCCATTTTTTTGAAGCAAGGAGTTGTACTGCTTTCGTGAACAGACCACCCCGAGAAAAGGGGATAACCAGCCCACAGAAAGGGAAGCAGCACAGCACCACCTGCCCCACTCACCGCACGCAGCCCCATTCCCGCAGTGCCGCCAGCCAGCGCTGCTGAAAGCAAAGCGCCCTCCCTCACCACCCGAGCGCCCCCTCCTCTCCCCGCGCTCACCTTGTACTTCATGGCTGCAGCCCGGGACGCCCCGCCACCCTCCGCTCAGCGCCGCATCGCCAGCGCCTCTCCTCGCCGCGCCGCCCGCCCCGCCGCCAGGCTACACCGCTCATTTGCATAGCGCTCTCCCATTGGACGTTCTCGGAGAGGCGGCCCCGCCCTCTGCCGCTCCGCCGCTCTGCCCCGTCGGGCCGGGGCTGGGCGACTCGTGGAAAAGCGCGCGTGGTCGTGAAGCCGAGGCGGCTCGTGCTGTGCGCGAACAAAAGGCCTCTGTCTGTGGCACCCGTCGCTGGCAGATCTCTGCTCAAAGCGCCCTGGAAGCGTCCCTCAGAACTGATCTTTCTTGCCACTGGAGTCAAAACGTCCAGCGCTCGCTTTGTGTGTTTAAACATCAGTTAGACACCAGAGGACGGATGGCCTCAGCCGCCTCAGTGATCTAGAGATGGCTGTTGGGAAGTAAATTCTCTCCTTTTTGCCCAGGCTGCCTCTTAGCCAACATTTCTAGGTCGCAGATGGACTCAAGACTATTTCTAGTGGCCTAAGGACAAACAGCAAAGAATAATCTTCCACTACCGGACCGCAAACATAACTTCATTCCGTGGCACAGTGATATCCTTACATTCTTACGCGACTAATCCCCTAGAGAGGGATCCTATTGCTGACATGGCTTCAGAGCCTCTAAAGAATGCAATACTTTTATCTGTAATCTCCTTCTCCGCTCTGTCGTTCTAGGATAAAATAAGTACTGTACGTGTTCACTGGTGTTTCTTTTTCAGTACTGTTTTCCTGCCTGCACATGCCCTGATAGTTCATCAAGTATGCGCTCTGTGACCATCCTTGATCCCCGGTCCCTATGCAGTGCCATGGCTTTGCTGGCTCCTTGGCCTCACGTTGACTGCTTACACTCTTCTGAGTGTATAAAAATGGATAAAAATTTCTCCTAGGGTATTTGTGCGAAGGGCAGAGAATGCAGTGGCCAAAGTGGTAGCGTGGTGTTGGACTGGCACCCAAATCCCATTCCCTGGATAAAGACTGTATCATCTCTTAATGTATAAACTCTTAATGTGAAAGCCTCCCTTTCTGGCACCATTGTCGTGAAGATGAATGCATTAAAGGATGTAAAAGCACGTTAATAAGGACTGGGTAAGTATTAGAGACAAAAGCAAGAAAAGTAGAATCATATTTCTGACTTAATCTATGTTTTTATGCGGAATGCGTCTGTTTTCCAGTCATCCTACCAGTGCTGATACTTTTCATGTAATTGGTGTTTTCCCTTTTTTGAAGGGCTTTACAATCAAACTAAGCACAATTGAGAAGGTGTGCCACTTGCTTTTGTTTTAGCTTGTTTTGCTTTTGGTGTATTTGAAGTGTCCCTGACTGATTTTAATACGAGGTAACAGATGTGTGAATGTAAAATTCCGGCTGGGTTGTTCCCTTGTATTTGCTGTTTTGCATGTACTGCTCTCCATAGCTCACATTAAAAACTTTTAATTATATGCTACTGGAATGAAATTTTGGGCATCATATCCCAAAACCGATTGATGCTGATAGCTATACATTATAGTCGTAATTAGTATTTCACAGGGAGGAAAAAAGATTGCCATCTCACACCGCCTCCGTGGTAAAACCCCACTGCTCATTTGACTCACGCATCCTCCCTCTCTCACCTCCTCCATTTACAACCACAGCTTTTCTTTGCTCTTTGAGTGGGTCTTTAATTTCCCCAAGGGTGAAATATTCCCTCTTAGTTACACGTAGCAGAGCTCGCAGCGTGGCGGAGCTCCCCGGTCTATCGTGAATATCAGGAATTAGATATGCCTTGAAAGAGAGATTTGTAAATATGATCCTCTAACCTTGGCGTGTTACTATAGAAAGTGATGATTGTGGAAAGTACATGTCTGTGGTTAGTGCAAGCACTTTGCTTTCTGCGATGACCTTGTTGATGGTTGTTGCTTTTACTGTGTAATATTGTATTTCAGGCATAGTCTTATGAAGTTTTAAATTGGTTGCCTTGGATAATCAGCTAAATTATACAATGGAACATGCTGGTGAGGAAGCCAAGACCTGGCTCTGCTGATGTCTGTGTTGTAGAGGCAACTTGAACGATGCTGCCAGGATTTATAACGAGGGGGCCCTATTGAAGTTCTCAGGAGGGCAATTCATGTAATGTGTCTTTTTGCTTCACAGCCCAGAAATGAATTGAATCACTGCCTCATATTTTATGCTGCTGCAATTTCAGTGGAGTAGTAAATAGGTTCTGTGACTTTGCCTTGTGCCTGCATCAATGGCCTTTGTTTCTTTGCTTTTGCTGAGGGCAAATTAATATTACTCTCTGCTCATTTGGGCAACCCAGTGTCTCCTCACACACCACCCTGGTGAGCTTATTGCTTGCTTTATTGCCTGCTGTGCCACTGATGTGGAGTCCTCTCTGTGCCCTCCAAACTGCCAGCTGAGTATATTTGAAGTGTCTGGGGGTCGTCAGCAGGTGAAATGGCCCTGCAGCACAAGGGGTGCTTGGCCAAGATCAGTTCTTACCACACAGCCCTCAGTGTACAACATGAAACAGAGCTGTGGGCCAGGCTGGGAGGGGAACAGCCATTGAAACAAATCAGCCAGCTATCACCCTGTGACAACTGATAGGAGATGAACACGAGACAGATATCCTGCTCTGAAAGGTTACTGAAACAAAACTCCCTTGTTCCGCTTTCCCCATGACACAACCTAGGAAAAGAGAGGCACAGCAGAGTGTCTCCCTCACAGTTGAGAGAGCCTTTTCAGGAAGGGTCTGTGAGCCTGGTGTTTTGGAAGCACTGAGTGATCTTTTTTTTCCTGCACAAAGCCTCAGCTATCCTTTGGTTGTTGTGCAGCATCTGCATCACTTCTTGCTGTGATAGTTGGCCAGGGGATTAGGATTAAAATTAATTTAGTTATAATATCACTGCACTTCATGAACCAAGGAGAGCCTTGATAATCAATCTTGGTCCCATCACCTATATAATACTATGCAGAATGGTTCAGCTGGTATTCAGTGGAGAGAATTTCTTCAGTATAGAACAGTTTTGTATACAGAATGGTGGAATTTGCTTGCTTGGAGAAATCTATGAAAAGAAGATGAAATGCTGCTGTTTCCTGAAAAGAAAGTTGACAAAAATTCACCACTGACGTGGGCTGAGTTCTATGTCTGTGTGGACAGAAAGGCTACCTCTCCCATCTTAGGAGGAGATAAGGAGAACAAGACTTCATTCTCATCCAGAGAAGGCAATATTTCGCATTTCAGTAGATCAAAACAAAATCTGCTCTGTTTTCCTCTGACTAATGAAGGAAATATTTTCAAGCAAGCAGTTTATTTCATATAACTGTAGCAGAAGTCTGTCCTAATGGCACAAGGTTAGACAGTGATCCTTGCCATGATCAGATTTAAATGCAAGGGTCAGATTGTGGAAGAAAAAATGTTAGTAAAACATGTTAATTAAAAAATGTTAACTATCTTTTTAAATGCGACTATACCATTCTGCTTAAATAGCCTTTAAACTGCAGCATGAGTTCGCTTGCCTTGGCCTATAATTCTACATTTCCTTTAACATTTATGAACTAAGGCATCCCACATCCTTTTTATAATAAAGCACAAAAGCTGTTAACATTCTCAAGAAGGGCATTTTATGTGGTGTTTGTTAGGAATCGCTCGCTTAACTCTGTAAGTCAACCATCAAGGCCCTGCTTATTGAACCTCCTTCAGATAAAGAGAATAAATGCAGCTCCCTCTGTCCCCTCTGTTTTGCTTCAAATGCCAGCCAGAAAGAAACACATTGGTGTCCTCCCACCCAAAAGATTTAAAACTGAATCCAGCCTTTGTTAGCCTGAGAAATCATGGAAGGCAATTGCGGTTTAGATATTCTGGCACTGGGTTATCACTAAGCTACCAGCCTGATCTGGTGAACAAAAAAATTCAAAATCTATTCCAGTTTAACATAAAGTATGAAAATAAATACTGCTGCAATTTCCACTTGTTATTTGAACCAGGCAGTCAGGTTTTCAGGAGGAAATGAACATGGGAAAGGGAAACAGTGGAATCGCTATTAAAACAGCATGAGGGACCCATCTCACTCTGGGGAAAGGAAAGGAGAGAATGCAAAATCAAAACAAAGGACATTTATCTCTACTCTAAGGCTGAGTACTGACTGCAGATGAGGATGGAGGAAAACAGCCCATCCAGGCCCGTGCAGCATAGCTAACCCAGCAGAGCAGAGCGTGTGGATGGGGATCGCCGAAGGGATTCGCATCCTGAGCAGCATGAGCAAGAATTTCTGGAAGATGGCAGGAATTGGAACTGAGCTGCCACCTGTACTGTGAGAAGCCAAAACAAGTAGGAGCCTTGGGAACATCAGTACTGTTGGGTGTGAGAGATGGCAGAAACTGGTGCCACTGGAGGCAATTTCTGCCCTTCACAAAAGCAGCAGCACAGTGGCAAACTGGGTTCCTAGCACCCTAGGACCTGGTGGTGTTGAGGAGGCAAGAAGAATGTAAGGTATTTTGGAAAGGCTGGAGACAGAAAAGAATGTCAGGATGCAGCATGCACTGGCCTATTCCTTCCAGAGATACCGTAAAAGGCTTATTCATTTCCCAAACAAACAAAACAGTCTTAACAGTTGTGCTGGTAGAATACGCTCCTTTATTTTCCCTTCTGGCACTGAATGTTTTTAATACATGAGTTAAAATATACAGGCTTGCTTCCAGACGTGTGGCATGCATGCCATTCAACCTACTGATGCCAAAAGAGGCATTTTTTTGTTTTTCTTAGAAAAGATGAGAAATAGCACAACTATGGAGGCTGCAAAAGACTTCTGTTCTCTCTAGTTCACAGTTGTGTCCGTGACATATGATAGATATCATACAGGGAGATTGCTCAGGAGGAAGATATGCTTAGACATCATAGCTAGTTTTAGATGAAAAGAATGGAGAATTAGAATTGCCTCAGACAAGAAATTTCCCTGTAACTTAGGCATGTTAAGCTCTTCATGCAGTTAGTCAGAGTGTTAGCATTGAAAAGCTCAGATCTTTGCCTAGGCTTCCAATCTGAACATTACCCAGTTTGGGCGAAACTCTAGAGCTGAGTATTAAATGTGGAAGGTTATCCTTCTCCCTAACTGGCAGAATGCATACTACTTCAGCTTGGCAAAAATTCAGAACTGCCCCTAAAATGCAGTTCCTTCTGATTATAAAGTACCCATCAGTTTTACACACAGTCCAAGTAATTGTCCTTTGACTGGACTAGGCAACTGTGTCCATTTTGATTGCAAAGCCTGTGGTTTTTTTGGTCTCTGCTTTTAAGAACCTCCTCTTGAATGTTTCTCATGCTTATTTTAGCATAGGTGATCTGATGTGTTGTACTGTATATTCTCACTTTCTCCTTTCCTCCACCTCTCGTCAACCAGCCTTTCATAGCACCAAAAGCATTTTCTCTGGTAGTGCCCCTTACCAGCAACCAGTTCGTTTCAGTGGGAGGAAGGGAATCAAAAGTGAAAATCAAATAAAATGCAAATTGGGGATTAAAAAAAAAAAAAAAATCAGTTTGAAGGGGAAAGTCCTGTTTTGCCTTTATCACTGAGCTTCCCATGAGGTCCTGGCCTGGGGGTGATTTGAGGGTTGAGGAATTTTAGGGAAATTTGCTTCTTTTGGATGTGTTTGGAGGGAAAATATGTAATAGGAAAGTGAGCGTCTTTCCTTTCTTTTGCTTCAGCCAGATTTGTGGAGACTCGTTGATAGCCTTAACAGAGAAAAGCACGTGAAATATCTCACACTGACTTGTGTTTTTCTCCTCTTTGGGTGTTGCTGTTTCAACTCTCATCTCATCCTCAGTGCAAATTTTAATCTTCACAAAACTGCCAAAAATGGTTATCTTTGCTGCCATCTGTTTATGGTCTGCACTCCCAAAATCATTCCTTAAAGGAAAATGACTGATTTCCAAACCCCTCCTCCTCTTCTGTTATTTTTAACAAGCAGTTCAGTCCAATGTCATCTAAAGAAAAGATCATTGCCTTACTTTGTGTTGCAGGATTCTCAGGAAACAATACTAGAAGAGAAGGAACGTGGGAACTGTGTTCCTTTTCTTTTCCATTGCTGTCGTTCATGCACTCTGAATGCTTCCAGCAATAGGGTAGCCAAAGATGGGGTGAAAAGGACAAAGTGTGTTCCCATTGGCAAAACTTCCTTTGACTTCATTGGGACCAGGATTTGGCTCACACAACACATCACCCCAAGCTTTGGCTTTGACTTAATTGGCTCCTCTTAGCAGATTGTCTCTGCGGAGGGAGGCAGCACTGCAGATAACTCAGCTGTCACATGTATCCACCACTGTTATTCTTTCACTGACTTCAGGCTGGATACTGACACTGGCTGAGCTGATAGAAGCACCTGTCTCCAGGCTACGTGAAGGGAAGGCTGCACATATCAGTTTCCTGATCTCTCCTTCAGCATCTACGTTCTCTTTTCTGTCTTTACCCTCTGGGTCGGACTTTTCCCACACATCCTGATTGACTCACGTCTGCTTCTGAAGTCTAATGTGGGCTTGAGTCATGAGGCTGACATGAAGATTTGACTCCCCACCTCCTCACAGTTCAGCCCTTTCTGGGAGTTGTATGGCTTTTATAAAACGACTTTCCAAGAAGAGGCATAGCTCATTTTTTGTGCCATAAAGCCCTGAAGTATGTATGTCTGGAAGCCATTGCTATAAAACTCTTGGATATGTCAGGGTGTTAGTGAGGCTGTCCTTTTGCTTCACAGTTTTGAGGCAGTGTGTTGGCTCTGCTTCTCTGGTCAGTAAATAGGCACTGTAAAAGGACCGCTCTTTCTATGAAAAGCAAGGCTTTTGAAAAGGCTCCCAGCTACTGTGGAATGGTTCCACAGTGGTGTTCCAGAAGCTATTGTTCCAATGAAGATCATGGTATGGATGAGTCTTCATGGAAAAAGAAGATTGAGAGGGCTGTGCATACCCAATCCCCTCTCCCCAGAGCACAAGAAATGATCAAACATGACTATCTAGTGGTGGAAATGTCGGCTCAGAAACACGAGAGTCAAAGATGTGCTGGGAGAGCAGTTTTCAGGTGTGTACACGTAGACAGGGTCAAAAGGTTTTGACTAAAATGACTTATCATTTCATTTTCCTCTTTTCTCAGAGATAGGTCTTCTGGTACAGACAGATCAAAAGTCAGAAAGCTGGAAGAAATGCAAAGATCTCATATGCTGAGTCCTAGTCTGAGCAGATGGGTGAAAGAAAAGTCTGTTGGACCAATCTGTATTTAAAGGAACAAGAACCACTGTTTGGAGGAACGGAGGGAAACATTTACTTAAATTTGTGGGAAAAAAAAAAAAAAAAAAGCAAGAAAAGGAAGATGGGTAGAGAAACAGACTGTTATTAATTGACTTAATGAGAGAGAAATGGTCTCTTACTAGGATAGGAACATTAGGGATCCAAAGTACCTCACACCTAGTGAGGATCAGTACAGATGATACCCTTTTCTGCCTTTTGAAAAATCTGTTACCTTCCTTACTTTGCTATTTGAAACATTTCACACTTGGTAAATAACAAAAAATGCGGTTCTAAAAGATCAAATTGCATTCTGGTAGCAGCCAGGATAACTTTATGAAGACAGACAAACTTTTGTTAAATCAAATAAATATATATATCACACCAGAAAGTTATGTAAGATTCTATTTTAAAATCATCTGGTCCTAATTTACTAAATTTACTGCCTCAGAGCTAATGCCAAGCTGCTACATTTGATTTATAGAAATACTTTAGCACATTTTTCCATCAGGCTATTGTAAAAAATATATTTACTGCCTTTTTTACTATTGTGAAAAAAATGCAGGCTTTTTGAAGAGCTTACTGATAGTTTCTCACAAGATGCCAGGAGATATGCAGATAGTAAACAATGCTGTGTGCTTAGGAACATTCCATTCGATTTTCAACTCTTTTTCCATCTTTCTTCTTTGTAATTGAACAAAGTGATCCATCTGGTAAATGGATGTTTGAAAACGTCCAGTTTGTGCCAAACCACTTTTCTTAAGCACAGACTACATTTTTTTTTTATTCTTCAGAAAAACATTTAAACAGCAGCCATACTATGATGCATTACTAACCATTAAAAAAACACATACAAAACCCAGACAGCGGTTAGGGGAGAGCTGGGGTGGAAGAAAGCTTAACAAATATTCCATTAAAAATCTATCTAAAAATATCTTGCTAAACATACCTCTTTTTTTTTTTTTTAATCCCTTTTCTTTCCCTGAAAAGTCTGTCTAAATGGGAAATGAATGCTAGGGATTAAAACCTAAGTCCTGTATTCAACAATTCCATTGGACATGTGCTTAACTTTACGCATGTGCTCAGCACTGCTTTATGCATGTGCTTTCATTTGCATGTGTGCTTTGCTGAACTGGATCCTTGATGAGTCTTTGTCTACTTCCACAAGAAAACTGTAGTCAGGACAGTTGTTTTTTTGAAGGTTTTGAGAAGAAGGTGTTAACTTTTTTTTTCTTCATCCTGCATCCATCTTCCATGGAACTCAACCCAAAGATGTAACGTGCTCTCAAGGGTTTTGGATGGAGCTCTGGTTCAAGCCTTTCCGTAATTTGTTTTTTTTTCATCTCTGTATACTGAACCCAGAAGTGCCAAAATACCACAAGCAAAGGGAATTTTTCTGGTATTTCCAGCTTGAGCAGAAGTAGGTAGCATTAGACATCTCTTCTATGATAATTCAGACTAATTCAGATCTAGTCTAATGTCTAACCATACCAATACTAGATGCTAGTCATACCCATACCTCTTCTCTAGAAGTCCCCATGTATCTAAACTACCTGGAAATTTTATTGCCTGCTTTCATTTTCATACCTTTCTTTTCTCTCCATCTCTACAATTACTCTATGTTGAGTCTCAGATTCAAACTCTGAAGTCTGCAAGCCAACTCCATAGACCTTATCTTTAGCCCATTTTTGAGTCCATAAAATCCATCTCATTTTAAAGCTTAAATATCTGAAAAAACTTGAAGATCAAGGGACTGAAATTTTTTGTGTTGATGCAGAAAACATTGGGATCTGAAAATCAGCTTCAGAAAAGCATCAGTGCTTTTGAATTCTCTGGTCTTATGGCAAGTAATCCTGAGGAGTTGGGTTTGTACAGCAGAACACTTCAGTGAAAGCATGAGGGCATTTGAGTAATCCTGATCTAGCAAACCTGACTTGAATTTGGCTATGGCTCTGAGACTTCGTGTGTTTAGTCTCAAGACGGAGAAGACTTTGTCAGCTCTCCCAGCCGTAAAGTGCCAAGGCAAAACTGATGTCTAGCTGATAGCCATGACAGTGTTGCATGTTTGTTTGCTTCTGACATCCCAAGAATTGAGGGCATTTCAGTTTGATTTCGATAAACAGGTTACCAGGCTGTTGTAGTTTTTGTAGTTGTTATGGTTGTTGAAGAAGGACTGTCAGAAAATGGGAACTCTGTTTTGCCCATTGTGAAAGGCTCCTGTTCACCAAGTACAAATCTACTGAATCTTCTCAAATGCTTCTGGGATGTAGATGCTTGAGAGCCACTCATAAAGAAACAAAGTGACATGAAAGGGAAGTAGAAAGGTCACAGATGGGAAAATAAATGATTCAGCTCTCGTTTTTGTAGCCTGGCATTTGTGTTTGCAGGTCAAAGTCAGCGTAGAGTTGTAAATGTTCTGTGTTCTGCTCTAGAAAGGAGGTAAACGGCACATAACAAGGAAAGTGCTAAAGGCTAAATCTAATCTGACACCCCATGAAAATGAGACAATTGTGTGCTAGCTGGTTGAAGTCCAGAGATGTCACCTCCCATTACTATCATTTGTTGAGTGGTTGCCAACGTTTGTCCATTTTCACAGCCCCATCAGTGCTATAGAAGAGTATTTCTGGGAGTTCTCAGCACTCTGAGGAAGAGTGGAGCTTTGTTTTTTCTGGAGCTAATCCCCTTAAATCACTTCCTCTTCCTATTGGAGTGAGGTTTTCTTAATGCCTTTTTGTATGTTTTGTTTTGTTTTAATGACCACTGTTCTTGGGGCTGTTTCCAGGTCTCCCTGAAAGGTCAAATCTGCTTTTCTCTTTGCTTGCCATTCATATGATGAGTGGCAATTGCTCCTCCTGCCCTCATCCCTCAGGCTTTTAGGCTGCTCTGTTTGCTGACCTCAGTCCTATTCTTTGAGGTTAACAGTGGTTATTTCACTACTTTAGTCTTTACAGGAAAACAAACAAACAAACAAACAAACAAGAAGAGTTGAGTTTGTGAACTTATATCTGTTACTGCTTTTATCGTTACTTCATCCAAATACCTCAGTAAATAAAAAGTGTGTTTACATCTTTTTCTGTGCAGTCATACAATGAAAGACACCTGATGCAGACAAGCATTTTTCCCCCTGCAGCCCTGGACAGTTTTCAGCCAGCCCTTAATGTTTGTTGTTTTCTCTTGCAGAGCTTGCTCTGCATTTTAGAAAACAAAAACAAGCATGTATGTGACATGTTTATCTAGTTGTGGTTCTAGAGCTACAATGTATTATTAGTAATTACACATCCCCAGATAATCTAAATTATGTCAGGCATGTCATTTTTATAGATACATGTGCTGTAACCACTGATTAAACTAGCCATACATGCTGAAGACCACATCTGTCTTTAATTTGTGCAAGACCTTGGTGGTGTTGAGAACCCACAAGCTGTACTGAAGCTGCTCAGTTTTATGAGTGATTACTGCCGCTGGGACCAGTCCAAATGATAAAGCTTATGTTGGAGTAGGTGACAGTTGCATTCATATGTGTAAGGTAATAATTCTAACTTCCTATGTGTAGATAAATCCAAATAGATGAACTCTAGATGCTCACCATGAATGATGTAGTTAGATATGGAAAAGTTAGGGCATGGGAAGACAATTTAAAAGTGAGTCTAGCCTTCAAGCAGGAACTACTTCCTCTCTAATCAGGGATCTTCTTTTTATAACACTGTCAAGTTTCAGAATTCAGAGCTGAATGGAGTGATGAATTTTGCATCTCTCTTCATCACTTGCAAACAGTTTGTGATTTTCTTCAGGTTGGCTGATTTCTGTTCAATTAATTTGAAGGGTTTTTTGCTCATATCATGCTTTCCTTATTAGAGGTTTTCTCTTGAAATCCTTTCCTGCTAGTCATGACTCTAATAATTCCCTTCAAAATTTCATAAGAGAATTAATTGCAGAGCATGCCACTTTTGTACCAGGTGAGGTTAGAAAACAAGCGTTGAGATGTCAATATGAACTCCCTTCTGGACTACAGCTGTGACTGATGTGTGTAAAGAAGCACAGGAGAAGAAGCTGGTTTAGGTGTGCTTTTTAAAAGAGGGAAATAAAGGAAAGCTTACAGATTTTTCTCTGGTACATGCTGTATGATGGCAATCTCTGAAATGCTGGCTGTGGTAGAATCATCATCGGTATTTTGCAGGAAGGAGACCAAGGCACTTAGTGACTTATTGATTATGACACAAAAAGTTCTTAGCAGCTGCAGTGCAGGCAGCCATGAGCTGAGTGGCAAGGATAGCTGGATACCCAGCTGTTACAGCATGGCTCAACAGGGAACATATATGATGCTTGTACTTTTCTGGATCTCTCCCAGTATATCCCTGACTGTATTGTAACGCTACAGGTAGCAACTAGTGAAATTTTCCTTGCTCTTGGCTCTGTGTCCTCCTTCTGTTTAAAAATCAAAGTGGTTTGGAGTTTCAGTTCACTTAAGCATGTGAATATTTGAGGGATGGATTTTCAAAAGTAAATGTGGGTCCAGCAGGAATGGGACTGGGTTGCCTAAGTAAAGAATCTATGGACAAGTATCTTAGGTTATCTCAGCTGACATTTAGCTGCTCTTCCAATAGATCCTGCCTCATTATGCCCACCCTCATGCAGCTTGCTGAGAGCTGGGTGCCTGAGCCTTCTGAATCCAAACTCTGAATATTTGTTGGGATTATAGCCAAGATATCTAAACAGCCTGGCTCAGTGAGCTAGAGTTTGAGACCTGCATCTCCCTGTCCACAGCTGCATTTCTGCTGGCAGAAATGAGATACGCAGAGGAGAAAACACATAAAATAATCATCATAATCTCTTCAAAATATGTTTGAGCTCTTTCCAGGTAAAATTTTGTTTCAGAAATTCTGGGAGCGGGAGAGATTTGGTAGTCAGAGTAATAGCAGTAGAAAAATCCAGGCCAGTTTCTGATTCCTAGGGTTCAGCCAAGTGAAAATTCATCCATTGTAAAATTTCAAGGCCTACTCACTTATGCTGCCATGACCTCTGTCATTTCTATCCCGTAAACAAAAAGTGGCCTCTTCCATGGTCCAGCAAGGAGCAGAAAAAGATTCACTGCAGACAGGCATCTCAGTGCTCAAAGTAGCCAGTATGATTTCTCCCAGAATTTCTGAAAAGCCTGTTAATTTCATGCAAGACATGAAGAACACAAAGATATGGTAAAAGGAAATCACTCCTTTTAGCTGTTATTTGTATCTGCTAATTTGTACCATGCTTAAAAGCAAAGACCCCTAAATGCATTACTGATTCAGTAACCTCTGCATCAATATCTTACTCTCTGCACTAAGCTAGCTACAGCTTCAAAATGTCTTTCTGGCTTTTTATTTTTTTTGAGCGAAATCACACCTCACTCTGAGAGTTAGTAGGTCACATTCTGAAAGGATGTGGTTTTCCTGCTCTGTAGATTGCAAAGCAGAGCTGCATCAAAATGGACTCTGACAGTACCAGTGCCAGCGGTGACAAGCACTGACATTTTGTGGGTGCTTCAGCAGGGGATGGTGGTATTGAGAGCACCAAACCCTGCCTTACTTTCGAAAGCTTATGTACGCTGTCTGCAAGTGTGAAGTTTTTACTACATGGCCAAAAGACAGCAGCTAGAAGGCCGAAGGGATACATGCAGAGTACTGGTTCTCAGTGCAGTTGTTAGTACAGCTGGCCCCTACTCTTTGCTTTTGCTTCTACTCATATTGAATGTGTGTAGCAGAAATGCTAAGTCTGAACCGGTGATTGAGCACCTGGTGGGAAGGCAGAGCCAAACCAAAAGAGCTCAGCTGCAAGCAATGCACTTGAATGGCCGGAGCTCACAGAGTCATTTAAGGGTTGGCAGTGGAGGTGAGGGTGTCTTACTGGGGATTTCTGCCTATGTGAGGCTTTCTGAAGGTGAGCAGTTTTTTTCCTTTGTTTTTGCATCTATGGCTGCTGCATTTGAGCTTATCTTCACTTACTCTGTAGCCTGGGGCTCTGCTATCCCGTTGTCATTGCTGTGTTTTCCATCATGTTATAGTGTTACAATGTGCCACTTTGACAAATCTCTTTCCTCCTCTTTGGACGGTACCTGACTAGACTTTGCTTACTGCCTTGACTCCATATCTGCAAAGCTATGTTTTACAAGGAGTCCTTATATGGCACCACCTCTTTATCTGCTAAACATGTACTACATCTGTACTAGTGCTTAGGAGGTCTAGTCTGTGCTCTGCAGCTTTGGAGGGCCTTACTGTGCTCACGGATGCTAGTTTCTGTAACCAATTCTCACTAATTTATGAGATCCTTAGCAGACTCCTCAGGCATGTAGAATAAATGCAGATAGGGGACGCTAAACCAAATGCTAGGGTAAATCTGCTGTAGTAGTTCACCTAAAGCTTTCTTCCAAACTTTCATATTTCACAGACCATGCCTCTTTATGGATGAGGACCAAAAGTTTTCTGTCCTCCTTCCTGATACGTTTTCAATAGATCCACAAGTTGAAGAAGGAGTTCACAGTATTGATGATATTCTTCCACTTCATAGCAAGGAGTTGACACCTCCTGTGCTAGACAGTGGGGATAGCCTTGATCTGATCAGTTGTGCACAGCTGTGCAATTAAAACATCCACCCATGCCCTAGGAGTATCTGCCATACCCACTACTATCAGCCAGTGGATTAATGCAAGCTAATGCCTTAGTAAATCTACAGCTTCACCATGCTTGATGAAACTGGAACTGCTGAATGTACTTGGCATGGATTTATTTCTTTAATACTAGCGCTGAAATGGTCTCATTTAGAGAATAAATAAGTAGCTGTATAATCTAAAAGTCCTTAAAATCATGGTTTGAAAATGCTACCAAAGAGAAATTCTAGGGAAATATTTGACCAACCAGTTAGTAAACTCATCTTTAACAAGCTTTTGAGATTGTTGCATAATTCCCACTCTCCTACTGTGTAATGAAAAAAGTGTCCTTTCCCTAAAACCAACACCTAGCTACAAATCATGATTTCAAGGAAAAAAATGACAATTAAGTGGAGCAGTTCAATATATTACATTTTAGTAATCCTAAAACCATATAGTTTACACTGAAGTGGCTTCTCTTTTTTCCAGTGAAAATGTCTGAAGAATGATCATTATGCATAGGGTTGATTTCTTGTACCCACAAATCTGGTTTGTGTGTGAAGTAGAGGTTTTGCAGTGATCTGCTTTTGGGTCTGATTTTGTGTGGGTTTTCAATGGGATATACAACTGTGTCAAAAGGGCTTCTGACCTCAACAACTCATCATTTTTCCAGTAGGGCTGGAAGCCCTGTGTGACCCTCCTAACAGAAGGCTGTGTTTTACCCAGAGGAGGTGTTACTATGAAATTTTGGCCCTTTCTGAAGATAAAAAGGTTGGATCAGATACAGACTTAATAGTTTGGGACTGCAAATTTAGATGGCAAGCTCAGGGAGTGTTTGTACTAACCCACTGAAAGAAACATGATGCTTTCTCCACCTATTTCTTTATTCAATCACTGTCACAGGTCTGCATTATTTAGGTTTTCGCGCTGCATCTTCCAAAAATACCCATGACAAGCCTGAGTATTTGTACTTAATGCATTTGTAGCCCTTATGTGCAACTGTAGAGCTCTTGAAACTCTTTAATCTTCCAGGAAAGAGGGTTCCTACTACTGGGAAGCCCTTGTGGTTACTGTGCAACCACTGAGTGTAACAGCAAGGCTGTTGCACTGCTATGTGAGTGTCTTGTTCATCTCCAGTATAACTTTCTAAGCTCAGAGAATCCCAAAAACAGATGATAACTTCCCTCACCTTTCTATCAAGCTGGCAATACTTTTGTTGCTCCATTTTTGCAGTTCAGTGTGCAGTTTTAACAATTTGAAACTCACCTATGTGCATTTTGCTGAGCTTTGTTACACTAACAGTGAAGCTTAATGTTGAATAACATTATCAATATATCTATTACCAGAACATTCTTGTCCCTAAATATTTTCTTAACACTGTTAAGTTTCAAATAGTTTCTGTCAATCTAGCATTTAAATATCTAAATGGTGATGAGTGCAGCAGGTATTACTGTATGGAAGTCCATAAGCAAGATTAAATTCTCTACTCTCTCTTCTTCATTTGTGAAGTATCATAACCTACTCATCAGCTGAGGCATTTCCAGTAAGAATAACAAGATATTGTGTTTTTTTACTGTCAGATTCTTGCTTTTGGTAATCAAATTTCTAATTGATAATGAATATTAAAATGTCTGCACATTATATTATGAGTTAATATACTCATTTTACTGTTTTCATGGAATCATTCTATTGAAATCATAGACTGGCCTGGGTTGGAAAGGACCACAATGATCACCTAGTTTCAACACCCCCTGCTACATGCAGGGTTGCCAACCACCAGCTGCCCAGAGCCACATCCAGCCTGGCCTTGAATGCCTCCAGGGATGGGGCATCCACAACCTCCTTGGGCAACCTGTTCCAGTGTGTCACCACCCTTTGGGTGAAGAGCTTTCTCTTAATTTCTAACCTAAACCTCCCCTGTATCAGTTTAAGACCGTTCCCCCTTGTCTTATCACTATCCACCCTTGAAAACAGCCATTCCCCCAGTTTTTCCTGCTTACAGCTGATATGTTAAAACATTTTCCTGCTTTTTAAATACAGTGAATGTATCTTAGCAGAGGAAGTAAATACTGTCTATATGCTTCATTGAAAGCACTGCTCTTTCCTTACTCACGTTGGTTAATCTCATCTTAAATTGTCCATTGCTTTTATTGGTGCAACAGATGTAAATATTCTAATTGAGAAAGAGTGATCGAGTCTGACCCAAGTGACTGGATTGATCTGCAGTATGCAGTTCTGCTGCAAGACCTCAAAGGAAAAGGAATGTGAAATGTTTGATGTTTGTTCCCTATTTTATGCCATTTTTCTACTGATTATTAAAAGCCTAAGTTGGACACTGCAATTTAAAAGGTATTGTCCTGAGTGAGGGAAAGAAATGGCTAAAAATTCTTATTGTTTTTCACCAGTGACCCCTGAAACTTGATTTATATGGATATAAATAAAGCTCCATTTGATGTCAACTGCAGTCTGAAGGGTGAACATAAAAAGAAAAATCAGACTTGTCCTGAAAGATAAGAGTTAAGAACTAAAGTCAGTTTAATTTAGGAACAGCAAGCTTTCATTTCCCCTGGGATATGAGCCACTCATATCCAAGCAGGATGTAGTATGGGGAACATATCTATGTTGTTTCCTTTCAGGGATTTACAAATAGCTGCTGTTTTAAGGCACAGAACTGTTTAATCTTGAATATTTCAGGTTATTTTTACATAAGCCAAATTGACAGAAATCAGCTATTTCCTATTCCACTGTTGAAGGGAGCCTTTAAGACAATGGAGAAAAACGCTTTCTTTTCCTTTCTGTTCATGTTGTATCTGTGAATACTGTCTGTTGTTCTCAGATATTAAAAATGTGGGCAGATAGCATGGGAAACAGCATTCCTGCATCTTCTTAGGCCTGCCTGGCTAGTGAGGGTACCTGATCAGATGTATGGTATGTGGAATCAAATGAATACAGTATCTTGAGGGCAGTGGTACAACAGTAATTAAGTTCTGTGTGCTCAAAGCCATTTGTTTTCTGCGGGTAATAATCCTTAGTCAGACTAGAAAACAAAAATATGTGCTTTTAACATGGAGTTGTTCAAGTTTTGCTGGCAGAGATTTAAAAAAAAAAAAAATAAATGCCAGGTGACCTTTTTCTATGTAATTGATTAATTTCTGGGAAAAGAAACAATGTGCTTGTATTTTGGGGGTATTTCCACCCATTTCTCTCATTTTTCTCTTATGCGTAAAAAGATGGGGAAGCAGTGGGGTTTCTAAAGGCTTAGGATGTACCTCATTCCCAGCTGTGAAAATAATACTGATAGTGTTTTACTCTCTTCCTCCTGAGCTTCTAAAAGTATTTTCCAGTATTTTTAAATGAGAGAATAAAAGCTCTATAATAACGGGTGGGGGTGTTCTCTTTATGTTCTACACCCCTTTACTAATGCAAGCTCTTGATATACTTCTCCCTCTTCCAGGGAATGTTTAGGCTGTTAGCACCATCCATTCCTTTAGTCTGATCCAATATCTCCATTCATCTCCTGCAAGTTTGTCACCACAAACACTAACCACTAGAAGACTGAAGCTTTATGTTTATTACTCACCGTAGCTTTGATTAAAGCAGAAGCAGTTGATTATGCAGATTAGCAAAACAAGATTAAGGCTCTTTCCCAACACCTAGAAAAACAGATACTGAGCTGTTTCAGAAAGGCTTTAAAGGATCTTCCCCTGATATTGTGAATATGAACTCATCTAAAATACAGGCTGTCGAAAAGGAGGTAAATGGAAGCACTTACAGGATACTGTAAGATCTGGAAATCATTCACAGAAAAGCAATAAGGTATGTTTAAATACACAAGAATCTTCCAAATATTTGGAAACTTGAGTAGGTAGCTTTGGGAATGCCTGTAAGTTTAATACCTCCCAGACCTGCCCGTCACATCTGTTGCCAAAATTTAATCACAAAAGTGCGGAAAGAAGCTGGCTCATGAGGAGTGTAGGAGTGTTCCTATGTGCAGACATACTCTTTTTTTGCAATGTCCCTTACAGATCCCCAATATTTTCAACGTGCGGAATCAGCTTGTACCTGAATAACTCCTGTAATGGGAATTTCTGCATTACAAAGAGATGTTATAGGTGGTATTACTTTGTTATACATCAGTGACTTCACAGATAGTTGATATTTTGCTAGACTATGGATGAGCTACCAGCCCTGGTTCCTCAGAAGGCAATTGTGAGTTTCTTAAGTTCAGAAAAATGGTCATCAAGTTATACCAGGGTAAGTTTAGGTTGGATATCAGGAAAAACTTGTGTACAGAAGGGGTTGTTAAGCACTAGAACAGGCTCCCCAGGGAGGTGGTTGAGTCACCATCCCTGGATGTGTTTGGAAACTGTTTGGATGTGGTGCTCAGGGACATGATTTAGAAGAGGGTTGTTAGGATAGTATGGTCATGTTGTTGCTGGACTTGATGATCTTCAAGGTCTTTTCCAACCTGAGTAATTCTATAATTCTATGCACACAGTAAACTTTCCTAAGAAATACATGCGAGAACAGTCTGTCATTCCTTAAGCTTTCACTTCCTTTGAAAACCAAGCACTCGCACACATACAGATTGACAGTGCACTACCTGAAGTGCTATTTTGTCCTGTTTCCCTTTTATGTAGGTTGCCTTGGTAATTGGCTTTAGGAGGGGAATTTGAGGGAATGCAAGCAAATGTGTGCGGTTGCTCTAATGCTTTCAACATACATATTACTGCAGATCCTTGCTTCCCTATGTGTTAACCAGACTTTGGTTGTGTTTTTGCGTAACTTCTATTTCTGCAGCAGAAAATCTCTTCCTGTATATTGAATTCTGATCACTGAAATCAGAACCTGAGAGGATAGTATTTTAGGTATTTTATGGCTGACAGTTCACATGTATTCATCCCATAGTTTGTGTAAGTGTTTAGGTATTTTGAAACTCAGCTTGATTAATGTTATGATTTCTCCTGTGTAAAGAAATGCAGGCTAGACTTCATCAGTTTCTCATGAGTATGTCTGTTCTTTTACTGCTGGAGTGCATGAGTTATTTATACAGTGCTAAAGTAGGACCAAGTTAGACTGCTTGGCTAATGTGTAGTTCAGGGATCCTTCCAGCAAGTGAGATGTGTAATTCATTGCAATTAATCAACTATTCAGTAGGATGATGTTATGGAGTAATGTGGTTTTTTTTACCAGACAGCAGATGAATGACAGCTCTCCCTGTGCCTGGAATGTTATTGTGGTGGACTCTTTAAAAAGTTTTGTCACCTTAAGTATAACAAATATGCTACCCATTTGCCTTTGGTTACAGAATAACAGCTAGGCGTTTACCCTTGTTATAGAGAACCATAATTATAACCAATTACTAAGTATGCAAACATATTTTGTATACCCAATGGATTTAGACCTATTTTCATTCCAGACTAATTAGAAAGCTACATGGTAATCTCCAGCCCCAGGCTTTTCCTACACACCCTTGAGTGACTGCTTAACCTCTCCCTTGAAAATAAACAAAATACTGCCACATCCTCAGCTCCAGATGGAGGCCCTGGCTCTGATAGTTGACCTTTTTTAGTGATTCCCATTTCTTTCACTCTGCAGCATTGTCTGCTAACTACTAGCTTCAATGGAAAGTTTTACATTTTTACTTGATTTTTAGATCAAGTCAAGTCAAAGTTAAATGTTTTTCATACGTGACAGGAGAGGAAGAAAACAGCTACATTTGAAGCAAATACTAGTTAGCTAGCTTTAAAAAAAAAAAAAAAAGTCTAGGAGTTTGAAGTACTGAAGCAGGTATCTGAGTGTTGATAGAGACAACTTTCTTGTATGCTTTCCAGTACATGAAGATAAACAACCACTGGAGTTAGCCTAGGGATATCTGCCCTGCCTCTAGGCAGTCACAAGGTTGCTTTAAGCCCTAATTTCCTAAGATTAAACTCAAATTAGCTAGGATACTGAATTGTGTCAAACTTAATCCACTACTGCTATGACTGAGAGTGCCCACCCCGTTCTTCCTGTGTCCCAGAAACAAGCTTTGTGCCTTTTGAAAGAAGGGAGGCTGAGTACTCGTCGTCTCCTCTTGAGCATGGGTTTTGGGTGGGTTTCATGATGAAGCCTGCTGTAGGATCTGTGTTCAGTGTGCAGTAGGCACCAAGCAGCTTTGAGATGAATGAAAGAAGGATGTTCAGTATCTTAGGCTGAGTTCTATGACAGAAGACAGTCTCATCACCTGATGGGCAGCCTCAGCCACCTAATGTGTTGGATGTCACAGCAGTAATGCTTCCATGAAAATGCGGAGAGTTTAGAATAGTTCTTTTGCAAGTTTAAGTGAAGGGCAGGTGGACACTTACAGTTTCAGATGGTGTGTAGAATGGCACATATAGGTTGGTTGTAGGACAAATATGCTTTTGGGCCATTGGAGAGACCAGAACTGCTTGTTTCCATTTACGAAGTTAGGCAGCCTGCCCCAGCCAAATCACACTGCTGTATTTCTCTGTATTATGTTCTTTTTTTCTGCTCTAGGATACAGAGAGATGTTGTGACCTCAGGAAGAGCTATTTGTGCAAATTATCAGGCAGATCCTTGGTATGTACATTCCAAGGATTCATAACTCAGGCAGAAAAAAAAATACATCATCAGATGGCTCAAAGGAACTTGTTTAGGGTGGCAATTTCCTCACCATATTTCAACTATCTGTCTCCAGCTATTCAGGTTGTCTAAAATAAATCATTACTTTTTTCTTGTATTTTCCTAACAATGAGGGAAATCAGATCAGTTTGT